CTGGGCTTGCTCGGGCTGAATCCAAGCTCCTCATCCTCTGCGAGCACCGGCACGTTCGTACTGCTGCTCTGCCCCTCCGGGTGCCCTGCGCCTTCGGCCTCCTCTGCCTGGGCCTCCTCTGCTGCCTCCACACTCTGCCCCGCAGCTCCTCGTGCGCACTCCTGCCACCCTGTCGGCTCCGCCTGTCCCTGCCCGAGCACTGTCCGCGGAGCCTCCTCCGGGCCCTGTCCTGCTGCCCCGGGGCTCTGGCCGTGCCCTGCGCCGGGCTCCAGCGCCTGCCCGGCACCCTGGCACGCACCAGCCGCCGGCGCGTCCCGGGCACTGAGCACCGCCGGGGCTGTTCCCGCGTGCGAGRGCTCTCCGTGCGGCGCCTCCTGACCGTGGGGACCGCGCAAGGTGACATCCTCTGGCAGGCCCCGGGGACGCTGCCCCGCCGGGCCGAGGGGCTGCGTCTCTTTGCTCAGTGCCGCGATGGCCTCGTTCATTTCTCGAAGCAGAGAGCTCTGCTCTGAGAACCTCTCTGTTTCCAACATCTCCGGAAAAGGGTCCTCTTCCACATTGCTCACTCGGTGGCCCGGAGGAGTTGTTTCAGCCGGAGCCTTTTCCCAAACCCTGGAAATGGCAGAGTTCCTGTTATAAGGCCAACCACTCCCCATGCCGAGGCGCAGCGCCGCGTTCGTCCCCGGGGCCGCTGTGGCCGCGGTGGCCTCGACTCCCTTACACATGGTGGTGGCTCTTTGGTGGCCGGTCGTCGCTCTGGGACCCGAGCCTGATCCTCATCTCGGAGCGGTGCTTCTCCTGCGCTGGACTTGTCTGCAMGAGGGAGAGGAGGGGAGTGTTCCCCACGGCACGGTGGCGATGCCAAAGCACCGGCGCCAGCTTTGGGAGCAGCCAGCACTGCACGCCCTTCCCAAGCCCATGGCACAACAGGAGTTGCCAGCGGTCCCCGTTCCTCCCGGGGACAGGCACCCCCCTTGCCCTGGTACCTGTGGCGACGGCAGCATCGCTCCCGGCCGCTCTGCCCATGATCCATCCCTGCAAAGATGCAGCGCGGGGGTAAAATAAAAAGCGATGTGCGGGCTGAGACCCGACACAGCCGTGGCGCGGGTGCCGCTGCTCACCCGGCGGTGCGCGCCGCGGCGTCCCGAGCTGCGCGCAGGCGCCCCTGGGTGTCGCGGAGCTGCAGGCGGACGCGCTGCAGCCGCTCCTGCAGCCGCCGGTTGCTCCGCTCCAGGCGCTGCTTCTCGGTGCCGGCGGCGTCGCGCGAGCGGCGCAGGCTGCGGCACCGCGTCTCCAGCTGCCACGGGCACGGCGGCGCTGTGTCAGCCCAAACTGCCCCCCGGGAGCTCGTGGASTGAGCTCCTGGGACGTTATCCCGGCTCCAGGACTCACCTCTGCCTGCGCTGACAGCAGCCGCTGCACTTGGCTCTCGCGCAGGTCCAGTGCTTGCCACAGCTCCGTGCCCTGCTGGAGGCTCCGGGCCGAGCTCTGCGGGCACCACCGAGCTCTGGGCACCAGCCGCAAGCCAAGCAAGGGGCAGGGAGCCCAGGAGCAGGGCCAAGCCCGGAGCAGGGGGATGGAGGAACACGGGGATGAGGAGCACATGGAGGCTTTACGCAGCTTGGGTTATCTTGGAGCGGGCAGTGAATGTGGGTGGCCTCTTGGAGCCCCCCAGCTCAGCAGCAGGGTGGCACCGAGGGCCGAGCGCTAAACGCAGCTATGGGTCCCGGCTGCAAGGGGGAGCAGAGGGCCCCGGAGGGACCCTGTGAAGGACCCACCTCTTGTTCCAGCCGCTGCGTCTCCCGGCGCATCTGCTGCTCCAGGGCCTCGCAGAGCTGCTGCACCTCCCTGCTGTGCTCGGCCACGCGCCTGCCGGGCCACAGCAGCGTCAGCCCTCACTGCTGCCCGGCCGTGCGCCACCACAGACGGAGCCTAACCCCAACCAGCAGCTCCGCAAGGGACCTCCAACCACACGTGGAGGTGCTCGGAGCAACCAGGTTGCTCCCTCGTCCAGTTCCTCTCCGTGACAAAGGCGAGCAGAGGGTCACGTCCCATCCTGCCTGGCCCCATCCCTACCCACAGCCCCAGCTCACTGGTTCAGGAGGACCTCCAAGGCCTCCCTCTCGCTCTTGGCCTCCTGGATGCGCCACCTCATCTTGGCCAAGAAGTCCTCCAGGTTGCCCAGGAGCCAGGGCTTGTCCTGCCACAGCTTCTCCCAGAGCTCCCAGAGTTCCCGGCTGCCAGGGGAGAGGCATTTTGTGGCCAACATGTCCCAGAGCATCCCCACGGRGCATCCCTATGGAGCATTCCCCAGAGCAGGATCCTGATGGGATGGTACCTTGGAGGATCCCGGGGCAGAAGTGGCTTCAAACCATTTCCATGTTCGCTGCCCAAATGGTGACCCAATTCGGGGAGCAGCCCACCCTCCCCCTGCCCCACCAGATCCCAATGGATATTCCTTACTCTTCCAGGACGTCATCCATGCCCAGCTGCTCCATGAAAGCACTGAAGTGCTYGTGCCCCTCGCCATCCACCCCCTCGGATGAGGTTGCGCCGGGGCCCGGGCGCTCCTCCGGGGAGGCCGTTCCCRGCGTGTGGTGCTCGTGGGTCACCGGCTGCGAGCCCAGCGCCTGCCCTGCTGTGGGATGGGATGGGATGATCTGGAGCCATGAGCAGCAGCAGCCTGGAGCCCAGCACGTCCCAGCCCGCTGCAGCACCACAGGACACTCACAGAGCCCATCAGTGAACGGCCGCTCCGTCAAGCACCCGGTGCCATCAGCACCCAGCCCGGTGAGGACGACCTGCAGCTCCTCCCTGCTGCCTGGAAAACCCTCTGGCTGCAATTCCTAAGGGCGAAGAGAGTCCTAAGCACCCTGGCTGCAATTCCTAAGGGATACCACCCACCAGGGTGCCCAGTCCCTACCTGCAGGTCGGCGCGGGGGACGAACGCCCCGTGCTCCTGCTCACGCACCCGCGGGAAGTCCGGCACCTCCTGCTCCGCGCGGGGCTCCGCCGGCGGCTCCCGCAGCTGCCGGCGCCGGCTGGAGCCCAAGCGCCGGCCCTTGGCGCCCGCGCGCCGCTCGGCCATGGCGCGTCCTGCCGCCGGGGTTCTCCGGTCACGGCCCCTCCGCCGCCTCGGCGGCCGTTCGTCACCTCCCGCGCGGGGAGGCTCCGGGTGCCACCACCGCCTCCGTGCTCCCATCACCGGGGCATCGCGGCGGCACCCACGAGGGAGCCCCAAAAGCAGGGCCAGGAGGGCCCGGGGAAGAAACGGGGGCTCCCTCCCCGTCACCAGCAGCTTTAGTGCACTGGGGCTTTCGCAACGGGCCGAGTCTCGGGGGGACGTGAGAAATGCATGAAGGAGCCTCAAAATAAGCCCCCTGCCCCTCCAGCCTCAGAGAGAGGCCCCCATGGCCAGCTAAGCCTAAGGGCCAGCTACACAGCAGGGGGAAAATCAGGTGCAAAGGGGATTTTGGGGGGCAAAAYGAGATGGAAACCTCCCCCTTCCCCYGCCAGTCCCYCACAGCATCGCGGGGCAGCAATCAGATGGATTTGCTGCTAGAAGACGAGCAACAGGAACCTGAACCGGGCCCCCTCCGGCCACAAAAGAACCCTGGCAAGGGAGCAAAACGGTTTTTTTCCACCCGTTATTTCTCCTTTTTCAGGTGTCACCCACACTAGGCCTGGATGCAGAAGCAGGAGCCCAGCCCGGCAGCCGCACAGGGAGCCCCGAAGCCCCCACTTACCTGCCCAGCGCCCCGAGGAAGCCGTGGAGCGGCTCGGCAGCAGGCGAGGCGTGCGCCGAGGAGGAGGAGGAGGAGGAAGGTGCCGAGCCCCAACCTGACATCTCTCGCTCTTACTCAAGGCATTTTCCGTTTCGGGGTTACGCGCAACCGCGTTTCCTGTTTGCTGCTCCGGGTGGTTAAAGCGAGCTCCGAGCATCCCCGCAGCAGGGGAGCAAAGTGGCAAAACGCCCCCAGGCTCCACAACAGGGGTAAAAACACCCCCCCCCCCGCCCTTTCCAACACACCTGGCCCAAACCATTAAAGTGGGCTCATGTGCTGCTTCCCATTAGCACCTTAGCCTGAGCACAGGGCCCTTCTCATTAGCACTTTAACCTTAACGAAGCAGCAGCCAGCTCAGGTGCAGCCATTTCAGAGGTGTATGTTCAAGCTGGGTCCAGGTGTTTCAGGTCCCAGCCTCTTATCAAGCAGAGCTGGTAGCCCCATGGCAAACAGGGGCTGCTCCGCAGTCACCCCCTATCCCTGCACCCCTTCAAGGACCCCCCAGGCTCTGCAGCCCAGCAGGGACCCTGAGCGGGACCCGCTCCCTCCTCCCCACCCTGCCCTTAACCCAGTGACACACATTCCCAGACACAAGCRCAGTGTTTATTCAGAGCTACGTTTACAGACAGGCAGATACATCCCCCCACCCCCCCATTACACTTAATGGCATCTTTATAAATAAACATTTAGTGCTGGGAGCATGCCAGCTTCCCTGGCAGCAAAGTGCATCTCTGTGCAAGGCGGGCAGCGCAGCCCTGTCCAYCCCCAGCCTGGCACCATCTCACACCGCTTTCCAGGGTCCAAACCCAGGAGATGAACCCCAGGTGCCAGGTTCGACAAGCTCTGAGCCTCTGCTTTCCTACATCAGTCCACAGTGGCCAGAACGGGTGACCAGCAGTGTCAGTATTGACCAAGGCAGGAGCAAAGAGGCCAAGCACCATCCAACAAGCAGGYGGAAGGGCAAGAGCGGCTTTATGGGCCATAATGGGGACTTCAGGGAGTGCAGAGCTCCCCAGGCAGTAGTGGCCCTGACCAAAGCGCTGCATGGAGCTCAGCACCAGAGCCCAAATCCAGTCACCTCCCTGCCTTGGGAGAGGGTGAGAGCCAAGGAGAGCCTGGTATGAGTCACAGAGGCCCCACTTTGTCACTGCCCCGCAGCCTATGATAGGGCCAGTGAGTCACCTGGAGGAAGGGCTGGCCAGGGACCAGCATTTCCTTCCCTTAGAAGCACTGAGGAGAGGAACAACCCACCTTGCATCACTCCCAAGCGGAGAGTCACTACCCCAGCAGGGCCAGCCCATCCAATGCTCTGCACCACRGCATGCTCAGAGCTTAAGCCACCAGGATCCAAAGCCACCAGACAACCCAAATGTTGGGGACCTTCTCCAGGGACGGAGCATGCCCAGCCTCCAGGCAGGGCCAGGACCACAGCTGGGCACAGGGATGGTGCAAGGACAGTGCTTGGTCCTGCCAGCACTGGGCAGGGGATGCAGGGTCATCTCRGAACCACCTCTCAGTTCTCCATTCCCTCCAAGGAGCTACAAGCTTCACCACTGGCTACTCCACACACATTGCACACAAGTGAGGGTCCCTCAGGACCCAGGACTACTCATAAATAGGRAACTATGGACTCTACATTGCTTCATGTGCAGCTTAATGTTGTCCAAAGCTGAGGAAAAAGCCCTGAGCACTGTCAGGGCATCACAGCACCAGCAGCTGCGAGGTATCCCCCATTGTAGCACCCTCAGCTCTCGCCAACAGAGCCACCGTCATGGCTTGGGTTTGTCAGGGATGATTCTCTTCTTGGAGTCGTAGAAATCTGGAGGGCAGAAAAAGCAGGTTGGAAATTGCCTCCAGCTAGTCCAGAGCAGCAGGGCAGAAAGGAGGGGACATCCCTGGGGCAGCAGACAAAGCCCTGGCCACGGCTTGGGGCCAAGGGAGGCACCCACCCAATCCACGGGACAGGTTCCTCTGCCAGAAACTTCTCCCCCAACTYCTCCCTGCCCAAAAGGCACCCAGGGAACCCCCATCCCTCCCTGCCACAGGAGACAGGGCCACCAGCCATGGTCATGGTGGTCATCTCCCTCCAGGTGAGGCGAGGGACAGCACTCACCCTTGATAGTCGTCTGCCTGCGTTTCAAGCGCTGCGGGGAGCGGGATGTCCAAGGCTCCGAGCCCTGCTGAGGCACCTCAGTGTGGACACAGCCAAGCCAGTCCTTGGCAGGTACCTTGTGGACCAAGGAGCAGCTCTGGCTCTCGCCGCCGTTGGCCTTGGCCAGGCTGTGCAGCGGCTGCTCGGCAAGGAGGACCCTCTCCCACTTGAAGCGTCCTTCCAAGGGCGTATCCGTCTCGAAGTCGAAGTTCCAGCGGTGCTGGGCTTCTTCCAGCTGCTGCCTCAGCAGGTCCTGGAAGTCACTTTGAAGTTGCTGGTGGTCTACGGGGCCAAAGAGGTTCCTGCACACCTTGCTGCTGCAAGGCAGCCGCTGGCCAGCCCTGCTCTGGGACAGGGGCATCGCGGTGGCTGTGGGGACAAAAGCAGCACTGGTTATGGGTGTCACACAAACCACGAGGGTCACCACAGTCGCTACCGGAGCGGCTGCGGCAGCCAGGCTGGGCAAAGCTCAGTCYTGCAGCAAAGCCACCAGAAGGGGCAGTGCAGCCCAGGACAGTGACATCCAGCATTTCAGGGGGGTCCTGAGCACCGCCGAGGTCAGACACAGCTCAGGTGCAACTCAAGAGGACAGGGAAGGTGCACACACCATCCACGCATCCTCCACCAGCAGTGCTCTCAGGGTACTGGCCTCGAGGCAAAACATGAGCCTTCAGCTTCCCGCTTCATCACAGGCACTCGAGGCAACAGGATGTTTTTCTGGTCATTTCTTAATTGCGAGGAGCCCGGTGGGGTGCGGAAGCACTTTGAGCAAGCGGCAAGAAGGAGCTGCGAGCCTGGCCACTCTCACCAGCCACCCCTGCTGTCTGCAAGAAGCTCTTGGGCAACCAGGGACAAGCCACCAATCTGCTCTTGACCTCTACGGGTTGGGGACCTCCCCCCACACACACCCCTGCTTATCCACACTGGGACATTCAACCCCATAGCTGCAGACAGCGCCAACCTGCCATGGCCAGCAGCCCGCATCCCACCTTTCAGCCTTTTGGAGCAGCCACCATCACTACAAGGTCTCCAGGGACCCCTGGGAAGCCCCCAGTCCCACATGAGGCCACCCAGACCCCCCAGCCTCGCCTCAATTGGAGGCAGAGCAGCTCTGGGTATAAATAGATACTGAGCTTCCGATCTCGCTCCCGGGTGACCTCAGCACCAGGCAAGTCCCAGCATGTCCAGACAAGCCCCAGCAGGTAGCAGCCAGGACGCAGCTTGACACCCAGCCCAGGCACCCATGGATCTGGCAGCAGCCCTGGGACCCCCCCACCTCAGCCAGGCCCCACGTGCCCACCCTGACTCACAGCACTGGACCTGGGGACAGAGCCACCAAGCCTGGAAGGACAGGACAGGCACAACCCCCTCCCACAGCACTGGCTCCGTCGCCATCCCGAGTACAGGAGCGTGGGCTGGGAGAATCCCGGGCTCAGGGCGAGCAGGTGACACCGGTTGGCACTCGCACCAAAGAGCTGCCCCCGGCCAGGCTAGAGATCAAGGCACTGCTGGGGAGCCAAGAGACACTCAGCACCACCCCCGGCAGCACCTGCGGGACACCCGGACCTGCCCCTTTACCAGTTCCACCTGTTTGGGGGAGCAGGAGAGGCCAGAGCACCCACGGGAACTCCCCACGGCTCTGACACCCCCACCCCTCCTGCCGGCTGCCTGCCCGTGGTGCAGAGACCGACCCGCTCGTGACACTGCTGAGCCCAGGGGTGTCCTGGAAAAAGGAGCCGCTTGGGAGCGGGGATCACCGCGGCGGGAGAGCTCCCGTTTCCACGGACGGGGCGGCCGCCRCCGGCGATGCTCAAAGCCGGGCAGCCCTGCGGGCGGCGAGGACCCGAGCCCCGGTTCCGCAGTGCTGCCCACCGCCCGCGGGAGGGCGAGCGCAGCCCGGTGACAGCGACACCGACACCGGCGCGTCCCAGGGGCTCCGAGCCCCGGSCGCCCCCTCCGGCGCGAACGGCCCCGAGCCCCGGCGCGGCCGCCCCGTCCAGCGCGGGGGGCGCCAAGGTCAGCGGCGCGGGGCCGCCGCCCTC